GCTAAATTGGAGAGGTTGTTTAGCTGCAAGTCAACTCAGATACTTTGAAATAATGGTTTCTTTTTGGCTCTAATTGTAATATGATGCAATCTAGGCGGTGTAACCTTCATACTACAATTTGGGATGTCACCTAAGAATTGGAAGTGAATTGTCAAACTTTCTACAGTTTTTAGCATTTGAACTTAATCAATTATATTTCTTGCGTAGTAAAAGTAAACGTAATTTTTTACTGATGTTGCAGACGTATTATAAATCTGTAGTTGGGTATTAAACTTCTAATTTTTCTTTCTCTATTGGTAATTATAGGTGTAATGTTCAGAAAAGGAAGATTTTAGGCTATTTTGGGTTTTCAAACAATTGTAAATGATGACATGTGAGGCAGAGTATAATGCAATGGTAAGTGTAAATTGAATAGTTTGAAATTTGAATATTTATTGCCGACTAAAATGAAGTGCATGAGGTATACTGAACTGAAGAAGTCCTGCATTTGTTGTTTTAAGTAGTTTTTTTGGTAACTGGTATGTGGTCAAAAATTAATGGTTGATAGCTGATGGTTTTCGTTTGTGGTAAAGTTCTGGTAACATGCTTCAGTCGTTCTTTTTTTTTTAGGAGTATCATCAAAGATTCAATTCCTGAAAGATGAAGGCCTTAAAGATCAGTTTTGTACAAAAGATTTTGATAAAAATAGTATTGTCATCGGAAAATGTTTCCAATTAACTATGGCTATTCAAAGGTGTTTAGCAAGTTGGAAATTTAAATTTGTCGGAAAAAAAAACATTAGTTTGTCGTTTATATAGCGGTAAGTAATGGGTGCAACACTTCCTAAAGTAATTAAAATTGGCTCATTGTCGTCTATTTTAAAATAATAAATTGAATTTAGGTATTGTAGGTTTTTTTTTGTTGTTGAAGTAAGCATCTGGACTTTTTTCTTCTGTTTTTTTTTTTTTTAAACGTAAAACAGTCTCGGGTTTGAGATTGAGAAAAATAGCATTCTTTAGCAAAATGGTAATCTGTCTAATAATGCGTGTCATTGATGGTTAATCCTTAAAGTTAATCCGTTTGCTAACGTCGTTGACCGATAAAAATTTTTTAATCTTACTTTTTTCATTTTCTTTTTTAAAATTTTCAACCAAATGTTGCATTTTTACAATCTGTCTTTTATTTTTGCAATAAATTTTGAATATTTTTTTCTTGCTTAAATTTTGAAAAAAAAAAAAAAACGAATTAAGGTATACTATAAGGCATATGGAAATTTTCTAAAGAAGACATTAGAGCAGTAGTAACATTCAAAAGACTTTGTTTTCGTTTTCCTTTTTATTGGTAAGCCAAAATAATATTACTTTTTTACATTCCTTACTTTCGTTTTTGATACCAGAATTTGTTTTATGCCTTTTTTTTTTCTTTTGTTGCACACAGATATTTCTAAGGAAAAAAAAATGGAAGAAATTTCTTTTTTTTTATGGTGTAGAAAATGACAGTTAAATATTTTCCACTGATTTAAGAACCTCAATAATATTTTTCCAAGTTTAATCCTTAAAAGATTATGTTTTTTTTTTTGCTTCCTCCATATAATTTTGACTGCAAATTGTTGAATAAAATAACAACACTGCGGGGGTCTTTCAAAATTTTTTTTGAATGCACAAAAAAGATAATTTGTTACTAATTTTGTTTATATATTCCCCTACAATTC